GGGGGGGTTGGTTTCTTCTATCTTGTCCATTGTTGTCTATGATGTTTTGAATTTACAGGCTTGGAAATAGGAAGCAAACACATTGCAAGTGTACATACTTGATTGACTATTGCATATGAATAATATTAGCAGAAATAGGAAGCAAACACATTGCAAGTGTACATAGTTGATTGACTATTGCATATGAATAATATTAGCAGAAATAGTAAGCAAACACATTGCAAGTGTACATAGTTGATTGACTATTGCATATGAATAATATTAGCAGAAATAGTAAGCAAACACATTGCAAGTGTACATAGTTGATTGACTATTGCATATGAATAATATTAGCAGAAATAGTAAGCAAACACATTACAAGTGTACATAGTTGATTGACTATTGCATATGAATAATATTATCATTTTACACACTGAACATCTTGGGTCTTCCCAGTCCTAGTTTTGTTTTTTTCTTTGTGCAAGAAAACTGTGACACCAGCATCTGTGGTGTGTTGGTTAGTGATTAGTGGCTCTCGCTAATTCACCCTTATGTGCAGGGCCCACAAGGTCGGGAAATCGGGAAAAAGTCGGGAAATTTTAGATGGGTCGGGAGGTCGGGAAAAAGTCGGGAATTTTGTGATGGGTCGGTAAGTCGGGAAAGGATATAGGGCCTGTGTAATGTGCAGCTATCTAGACTGTATGGTTGATGAGTCCTAAAGAGGAAACGTAATTGAACTGCTGTGACGGAAGTGTATGTGTGACACCGAGGCTCGATCGTGAAGAATCAAGATTTGCTTTCGTTACCGCCCAGAAATTTTCTGGTAATAGTCTGATAGATAACGCAACATTTGTAACATGCAGGTTGTGCATTATGAACGCTGTGTCGCCTTGAAAATAAATCAATATTAAAAATTGCCCTCTGCTGTCGCTTGTGGAAAAAAAAAAGAAAAAGAAGTTAAACAAACGTCTTGACAGGTTCGCCCTCGTGACCGGTCAATGAACCTGTGAGTACCGGCGGTCTGAGCGCTGTGAAGTATAGGACTCCTTTATAAGATACACTCATGGAAGGTGAGGGGGGGGGGGGGGGCTGAAGGCAACGCTAGAGGACAAACACTGAACTTGGAAGCAAATTTTTAGCATTTTGATTACTACTTTAGAGCTCTCTGCAAAGCGCGCGTTGGTGCAGGCCTTGTGTGGAATCAGGATCCGTCATGCCTTGTTATTGAACTAAAGTGTTCGCGTTTCATTGAATGGGGTGATTGTAATTTATATCAATATTTTATTAGCTTTCTGTTCAAGATTGGCAGATTTTCAGTGTCACTGCATCTTGCGCGTCACACTGAATAGATGTATTTGAGCCATTCTAGTTATTACTCTACTTTGAGCTGCAGCAATGGTTTTCGTCTTCACGTTTATTATATGAATCGTGACACCCAGACTGGTTATTGACAGTCGATTTTCTAGTTCTAGGTCTTTTTTCAGGCTCAAAACAGGATTCATATTTTTATATAGGGCCTATAGTTTGTTATGTTGGCTAATATGATGATGGGAAAATATAAATAAGTAAGAACAGACTGAAATACCAAAGTCTCTCAAGATCCCAGTGCCACACTGACATGTTGTTGACTGGATATAATGTACCTACATGTGTGTGTGTGTGTGTATTCACAAACATATACATGTATTATATTAGATATAAATGGAGCACACGCTTTCATTGTTATGTAACGTGTTCCTGGAAAATGGATGAGGCCCCTCCCTAGGAAAATTGAGAAGCTGGTTTGGCAGTCACCCAGTATTATAGTCATCTATTGTTTGAAGACTATACTACAAAATGTACATTTGCATTCATTTATAGACATTTTGACTTTTTATCTTTGATAGATTAGCTTTTTGGGGATCATTCTTGACGCGCAGCGGCCTGATTTTTCCCTCGAATTGGGGTCTTGAAAAAAATTTAGGGGTCTTGAAAATTTTTTACAGGATTTGGTGGGGACCCTGTATGTGACAGGTGTAACTCATGAAATCGGAGATGATATTGGCCAAATTTGCCCATGAAAGCAAATTGTTAATTCCTCCCAGCCTGACTCAGCCTAGTGAAAGAACTATGCAATGTTTGACCCACGATAAGAGACATGTGCACAACCTGTACTTTTCATTATGGAAACTTTAGTTAACAGAGTGTTGTATGTCATGTGATGTCGGCCAATGGCCTTAAGCACGTGTTGTATGTCATGTGATGTCGGCCAATGGCCTTAAGCACGTGTTGTATGTCATGTCATGTGATGTCGGCCAATGGCCTTAAGCACGTGTTGTATGTCATGTGATGTCGGCCAATGGCCTTAAGCACGTGTTGTATGTCATGTGGGCCGGTGGCCTTAAGCATGTGTTGTATGTCATGTGATGTGGGTCAGTAGCCTTAAGCACTGAAGGAACTTGTTTCGTACTTAGTGGCTTTTGCTGTCAGGTACAGGAGAGTTTGATTTCCGAGTGGGGAAAACTTTTTGTTGAGTGTCTCTGTCTTTCTGCTCGGTTTTTGTATCGCTCTCAAGGTTGATCATTTATTCCTCTTTCTCTTCCCCACAGCTGAAGAAGAACGTGGCCAGCCTGAACGGCAAGACCCCAGACTTGTTCTCCTTCACACTAACCGGCCTGAAGGCCATCGGGGACGAGCATGGCGTCAACTCTGACCAGGCCAAGGATGCTGAGAAACTTTTGACCAACCACCTCGATCAGGTCAGTGTTCTGAAGACTTTAAAAAAGAACAACCCTGTCATCTTCCTTTTCTTCTTCTTTCTTTTTCTTTTTTTTTTTTTTTGTCTTTAAAAAAAAAAAAATTGTGTGTGTGTAAAGAAAGAAAGTTTTTTTCCCTTCACTCACACACGCATACACACACGCATCTTTTGGTTTTTGGGGTTTTTTTCTCTTTTCTTGTGTACTAATCCACAAAAACATGTATGGTGGATACAAAACCCAACCATTGGAAGTATACTTACCCACCTTTAATTGACAGCGCTTGGTGTTTGATCATGAGTGAACAAGTCTTGGTTTAATGACGGTTCACTGCTGTAACATCCCACCACAACATTGTTGGATGGTGACAGTATACCTGTGTCTATGATGCTCTATGTTCCTGATTCTGTCCACTTTTTCCATAAGGAGGCCATTCTACCCCTTCTCTCTCTCTCTCTCTCTCTCTCTCTCTCTCTCTCTCTCTCTCTCTCTCTCTCTCTCTCTCTCTCTCTCTCTCTCTCTCTCTCTCTCTCTTCTGGCGCTGTCATTCTACCCCTTCTCTCTCTCTCTCTCTCTCTCTCTCTCTCTCTCTCTCTCTCTCTTTGTACCCCTTCTCTCTCTCTCTC